CGCCCGGCCCTACCCGGCCCAGCGCCGCGCGCTCCTCTCCGGCCGGTGCCCACCGCGCGGAGGGGCTCGGCCGGAGCTCCCAGCTCTGGCGACGCCTGTCCGGAGCTTCACGGGGGCCCTGGAGACCCGAGAGCGTTGCTTGATGAGAGTGGCTCTCTCCTCCCGGGCTACTCCAACCTGACATTCACCCGCAGCCCACGTTCTGTTGTCCTGGTCAGCTGGAGAAGGCTTGTATCCAGAAGCATGTCTGCGAGGCACAACAGCCTGCGACGGCGGGTTCCCAGCGGATGCATTCCCTGCGTGGGGGTGCAAGAAAGTGTGAAGTTAAGCAAGTTTCGCTCATCGAAGGACTTTAGGAAGAGTCCTTTAGTTTATTGACTTCCTCGCCCCTCTCCCTAAGAATGGTTGCAGGTGCTCTCTGGCCTAGGGCGTGTGTGCTGTCTCAGGCGTCTGGACCACTGGAGCGGAGTTTTGAGTGTCACAAGCCGATGACAAGGCAAGCGTCCTGAATTATTAACAGAGGTTTTGATGCCTGGGGCCTAGAGCATCCTTAGGGGACAACTTGGTATCTATAAGGTCTGATAATTATTCTGTGCCCCAGCGAAGCCTAGCTTGGTGGTGAAGGAGCTTGGGTACTTAATGCATCCTGTGTGCTAGATTTCATCTCTGATGATTAGATTGAAGTGTTTGTGAGGGGAAATAGAGAAAGGGTGCCTTACTTTTCAGATCCCGAATGTGTGGGAAGAGGAGTGAGTTCCTGCAGGAGTGATTAGGCTTTTTTCTTATACCCAATTAAAACTGATTACTCACAAATATATGTGATTTCCCATTGCTTGGGTACTCATGTTTGCGAACACTGTTAGGATTTTAGCCTACTGAACGCCTTGTGCCTTAACTCCTCAGACACACACCTCTACTTGAGTTCAATGTCTCAGATCTCACTCTGGGGCCTCCTTTCTTTTGCTACATCCATGACTCTAAGTACTAGTGCTCTTCAAAGAGTATTCATTTTTGTTGGAGTTTTACAAAAGTATTTGTCTGTTTAGGCTGCTGTAACAAAATACCATAGACTGTGTGGCTTGTAGGCCTATTCCTCACAGTGAGCCTATTCCTCACAGTGCTGGACCCTGGAAAGTCCAAGATCAAGATGTAGGCAGATTCTGTGTCTGGTGAGAACCAATCTCTGACTTGTGGACTGCTGTCTTTTTGCTGTGTCCTCGCATGGTGGAAGATGCAATTGAGCTCTCTTATAAGGACATTACTCCCATTCATGAGGGAGGGCTCCACTTTCATGACCTAAGTACCTTCCAAAGATTCTACCACTTAATATCATCACCGTGAAAGTCAACATAGGAGTTTGGTGGAGACATAGACATTCCATCCATTGCTGTATTGGTCCTCGACTGATAAAAATAAAAGTCCTTCACCAAAAATGGTTTGAGCAGCAATGAAGTTTATAAATGTATACCCTCAGGTCTGGCCTATCACAGAGCTCTGGTCCTCAGTTTACCTTTATTCCTCCACTTGAAGGCTGATTATTATAACACTTGATTTTTATTGAACATTACTACATGCTAGGTACTGATCTAAGTTCTTTTCATATATTTCTTTTTCTCTGTTCACAACAATCTTACAAGGTAGATACTATTATTATCATGTTTAACAGACATCTCAGAAGCAGAACTCTGAGTATCACCCTCTCCAAGCCTGTTCCTTTTCAAATTGTTCTACTCAGTGAATCCAAAAATTTAGAAGTCATCTTTGTTTTGTTTCTTTCCTTCATCCACACATCAAATTAATTAGCGAGTCATGGTTTCTCCACATCCACTCCAAAATTCATCCCCAGTTCATCCACTTGGCTCCATCTCCATTGCTATAACCTTAGCCCAAGCCAATATCACCTCTCACCTGTACGACCGCAAAAACCTCCTATTTTGTTTCATTGTTTCTATCTCCATTGCCCCAAGCAACACTCTTTCCAAACACCAGCTGAGTGCTCTTTTGAAAACGTAACCGGATCTTGCCACACTTTTGTCTAAAACTCTCCAGAAAGTTTTTATTGTTCTTCGAATACAACTCATTATTCTTCTCACAGCCTAGAAGGTTCTATAAAATATTGTTCCCATCTAGTTCTCTTCTATCATCTTCCCGTAGACCATAACTATGAGGAGGATGCCCCAAAAACTTGGAATTATCTTTTGGAGGGTGAGCTCCTTAGAGTACACAGTACAGGCTTCTCCTGCTAAGTAAGTGTTCTAGGAATTCATTGGCATTAATATACCATATAGTATTGTAAGAGGCTGCATTCGGATTCAGTGAATTTTTTTGGAGTTCTTTCAACATGTTTGCCCATTTCATGATGGATGATTTAGGAGTGCACCTACCCACACCACACTGTGTTCAGCAGTTCTTGACCAAAATGGCATGACCCCTGTACCCTACACCCTTCCTTTTGACCTGATCTCACCCCAAGTGATTTTTTGTTTTGTTTTGTTTTGTTTCCCTGAATGAAAAAGTCCTCATTTTGCCAATGTGGAAGAGGTGTAACAAAAAATGGCAGAAGTACTAAAAGACATTAAAACTGATGAGTTCAAAAACTGTTTGGGGTAGTGGAAAAAGTGTCTCGATAAGTGTATTGCATCAAGTGGAGAGTACTTTGAAGGTGACAGATGTTTGAACACATAAGTGCACAATTTTTAATAAATAAATTCAGTTTTGGGAGGGTCCTTCCTTGTATATGTGTTCTAGCCACATACACCCACTTCTTTAACATTCTTGAATAAATCTAGCTTGTAGTGTTTGTTGTTCTTTCTGTCTGGAACCCTCTCCCTCTAGATCTTTGCATAGGAGTTCTCTTAACGTGGTATAGGTGTCTGCTCAAATATCATCTCTTCTGAAAGGCTTGATTTGACAACCCAATCTAATCTTCCCCCGGACATTCTTTCCTGTTGAATCCCCTTGTTTTATTTTCTTTTAACACTTTTCACTATCCAACTCAGCTTGGATTGATTTGTGTACTTGTTTATTTTCTCCCCAGCCCCTGCTAGAATAAAGTATCTTAAGAGCTTTGCCTTCACTTTTCACTGTGTCATCTCTAGTGCCCAGAAAAAGATTTGACACATAGTATATACTCAGTAAATATTTAGTGAATGAATAAAGGACAGATTTGAATGAATAAATAGCATGCTTAGAAAAAGTGTTTTTTAAAAATTTCATGTTGATGCTTCTTCTTCTTGAAATCTAATTGCTGCCTGTCAGAATCTGTTGTTTTCCAGAAGTTCACAGATAGACCACATTGTTTCCTCTGTCCAGCCTATCACAGATGGCTCCATGTGGTGGTGACACACATTTAAACTAGATGCCAGAATAAGGTTCCCAGAATCAACTTTAAAACAAACATATTCAATTTTCTAAAAAGTGAGAGATCCTTAGCTCTGTGAATTCCCTAAATTGTAATAATGGCTGTTTCGGCAATGTTTACACTTATGGCAACTTGGCTATTCTGCCATTCATGTACCTGCTGAAGTCAAATATAACTTCTCAGTGACTTTCTTTCATGGTTGTATGTGTGTGTGTGTGTGTGTGTGTGTGTGTGTGTGTGTAACCCCGCATGTGTTAGCCAGAATCTTCAATAATAATGTTCTAGGAACTGGACATTTTACCTACCATCTGAGAGTTGACTAGATGGATGTAAACAACCACGGAGTTAGTGATCTTCACCTTGTAGAGTTTGATAACTTGAAGTTTTTGCATATGTTTTAATGATATGATTTGAGTTTGTCCTCTCCAAAACTGACATTGAAACTTGATCCCGAATGTGGCAGTATTGGGAGGTGGGGGCCTAGCAAGAGGTGTCTGGGTCATGGGAGTGGCTCCCTCATTAATGGCTTAGTGAAGTTCTTAAGTGAGTGAGTGAACCCTTGCTCTGTGGAGATGGCCTTAGCTCTCACAAGAATGAATTAACTCCTTCAAGAGTGGGTTGTTTTAAAGCCAGGATGTCCCTCCAGTTTGGTCTCTTCATATGTGTCTGCTTTGTCTTTGACCTTCTCCATCAGAAGCCAGGATTATGCCTCTGAATTTCCCGGACTGCATAACTGTGAGCACGATAAACCTCTTTTCTTGATAAAACACTCTGCCTCAGGTATTCTGTTATAGCAACACTAACCAAACTAGGACACTCAGTGTTAGGAAATATCTGCAATACCACTGACATTGAGTGATAAGTTGGTCAATAATTCAATTTTTAAACCTTATTAATGTCTGCTGTGTGCCTGGCATGAAGTCTTCAATTTTTTGCAAAAACTGTAAATGTTATATAAAATTATTTGACTCAGAAATAGATGTTAGTTCATTTTGGCAATGGGGATTCCTTCTCTACTTTTTATACAGAATTTCAGAGCTCATTGGGGTAGTCATCATAAACAGCTGTGCGGTAATGGTGACAAGCAGCATTTGATCACGAGCATTTCCATACCATAATGAATATGTTTTTCAAGTAGAGAGAACCTGGACACAGCGGCAATTTTGGTATAATGGATTCATAGTAAGGCTGGGAGCAGATTTTCAGACAGGATATTTGCAGACCGAAGATACTGGAAAAGGGCAGAACATCAAAATATTTAGAATGCATTTACTCATAATTAGGGGTATGTGTCATCATTAGGAGACCTGGGTCTACCTCAGTGAGTTTGTACCCTTCAAAGGTTTTTTCCAGGAAGAAACCACAGAGCATTTAACATTTTTATTTTCACGTGCTTATTTATTTCAAATATACTTTTTAAAAAAAAGCGGTATAA